TGATGTCATAACAAATGTTAAGACATCCTGTACTGATCTAACAGTTATGCAGTTTGGTTAATTCTGAGATTTTTCAGGAAGTTGGTTCATTCATTCCATAACAGAATCTCACGTGGACTTTAGGTTAACCTAGCTCAACCCTAATCTGGTTGATAAAGTCTTGTGACCAAGTCTTGAGGTTAACCCTAATTAACCCTAGCTTTTTGTGGAAGCCCTAACAAAAGAAACAACTGCATATATATTCAACAGGAAAGCTGGCTGGAATCAACTCTTTTTGAAAGAAGATCAATTAGGGGTTGTATAGTTTTAACTGCTGTAATCCAAGCAAGTATCATTGTGATAAGTGACTTGGAGTAGGTTTTGATTGTAAGGGTTGTGTATCACTCAAAGCTTTGAAGCAAGAGTGTTTGTGTCTCTTGACTAAAGCTTTGAAGCAAGGTCAAGTTAGGTTTATGTATCACTCAACGCTTTGAAGCACGAGTGTTTGTGTTACTTGATTAAAAGCTGTGAAGCATAATCAAGTGTATGTTCTGAAGAGTGTCTTCATTATTTCATTAGTCAATTGTTAAGTATCACTGCTGTGATTGAGGGGGAGTGAGTAGGAACTCAGGTTTAAGTTGAACTTGGATTGAAGTTGCATTGGGTAGGTCTTAAGTGAAGGAGATAAACTGGTTGGTTTATTCCTGAATTAATATCTCTTATAGTGGATTTCCTCCCTGGCTTGGTAGCCCCCAGAGTAGGTGTTGTTTCACACTGAACTGGGTAAACAATTGACTGTGTTCTTTACTATTTTTTTATTTACTGTCTTATAAAAAGTCAGATACGGTGTCATAACATTCACTGTGACATTGAGTATCTGCTGCCAGAATTTCACCAAGTCTATGGTGCCATGAAGCAGAGGAATCTGTGCAGACAGAGTGGACGGACGGGGAGTTGGCTGGCCAGAGATAGAGTTCATCCACACATGAGCCTCTATGAGTTATTTGACCCGTCTGCAAGTCCTTTACATGAAAATAGTTGGGCAAGAAAACAACAGCAGAGTTAGTTTGTTTGGTGAGCTGAGAGACAAAAATTATTTTCTGTTGCATGGAAGGAACGCACAAAGTATGTGAGAGGGATAAATCATTAAGTAAAAGTGTTCCAGAATGAGAGATGTTTAAACCTGAACCATTACCCATAAATAGTGAGTCTGGACCCGTGTACGGATGATGAAGCGCTAGATTGGAAAGATCATTGGTGACGTGATGCGTCGCTCCACTGTCCACCAGAAAATTTGTTTGAGATGTGCCAGCAGTTGCGGTATGGACCTGAACCTGTCCAGGGTTAGCCGAAGAGGAACGAGGAGGCAGCAGGATACCAGGGTGTTGCTGCTTAAAGGTGTGACATTAAGACAGAACATGGCCCTTGACATTGCACCACTGGCAGCGACCAAGAAATGGTTTGCGATTTCCAGGGCGTGAAGTTGAGGATGCAGAAAATTGCCCAGACCGAGTTTTGTCATAGTGGTTAGGGCGAGCATGTGCATTCAAGGCTGTCATTGGAGCAGGAACCTGTCTCTGAGCAGAAACTAGGGAGAGTTCTTGAATGAGAAGCTTCTCGAGGAGGTCATCAAAAGGAATGGAAGTGTCCCTTGCATTGACACCGTCAATGACAGCTCTGTAGCCGTCGTCGAGGCCACGCAAGACATGATCAGTCATGTCTTCAACGGAGACAGGGGAGCCAAGTGATGCAAGGAGATCTGCAGTTTGCTTTAGAGAATGCATGTAGGTGGTAATGGATTGGGTACCTTTGGATGCCGTATGGAGACGCTCCTTCAACTGCTTGAGGTGGCTGCGGGATGGCTTGGCATAGGTGCTCTGGAGAAGAGTCCAGAGATCATGTGATGCCTTTGTTTGAGACACCAGGGATGCCACTTCAAGGGAGAGAGTGGTGAGGAGAGAACCATATATAAGACGGTCCTGTCGACGCCAGGTTTGATAAGCAGGATTCGGAGTCGTCACCGGAGGTTCAGCGGTGGTGGAGACCGTTGTCGCCGGTGCAGAAAAGGATCCATCTGGATATTTGAGAAGATCATAGCCATCAAGGAGAACTGCAACTTGAAGTTTCCAGATGAGATGATTGGAGGGAAGAAGCTTGGTGACACTGCTGAAAGTGATGCAAGTGAAGGGTTTTGATGGCTCATGGGGGTTGTTAATGGATGAGGAGTTGTCGTTGGCCATGGGAGGCAAAGAAGAAAAAAAAGGAAGGAGAAGGAGCGGCGTCCTGTGTTAGAAAAGAAGGATCGTGTATTAGGCTGATACCATATAGAGATATGTGTAGAATGAATTGAATTGATCATATTGTCATTAGGTTACAGCAGTATAAATATACAAATTGATAATGTAAATTGGAAAGAGTCAAACAAATAAACTCCACCAATTTAGCTCTATTTGTTAGCCTAAATAAAGGAAAAACAGATATACAAAAGTTGAATAATAGAAACTAATTATTATGATTTAAAACTAAGGGTTAATACCTATTTTCACCCCTGACATATGGGGTGTATTTGAAAAACCCCCCTGCCAAAAAAAAAGTTTCAATTGTTACCTTGACAAATTTTAAAAGTTTCAATTTTTACCTTGAGGATGCCACATCCCTAAAAAGGCTGATGTGGCTTATATTTTTGTTATATTTTTATTATTATTTAATGACATGGCTTGATTAGTTGTCATTTTTAATTAATTTTTAATTTTTAATTCCACATGGCATTTATATTAATATTTTATTAATTGAGTGTTAATTCAAAGTTAAAAAATTTTTGTCCTTCAGCAGGATTCGAACCATGGACATTATGCTTGCAATAAACGCTTCTTACCACTAGACCAATGCATCTTCTTTGTTACATATATGCATCAATAAATATTCATATCATTAACATATTAATTACAATTATCAATAAATTTTCTTAACTAGTTGATTTAAATAATTTTTAAAAAAAATGTTTTATACATATTTTATCTTTTTACTCTAACTTTTTTTAAATTTTAAATTTTCAAAAATCACTTAAATTTAAAAAAATCACTTAAATTTTCAAAAAACACTTAAATTTAAATAAATCACTTAAATTTAAAAAAATCACTTAAATTTTCAAAAATCACTTAAATTTTCAAAAGTCACTTAAATTTTCAAAAATCACTTAAATTTTCAAAAATCACTTAAATTTTCAAAAATCACTTAAATTTTCAAAAATCACTTAAATTTAAAAAAAATCACTTAAATTTTCAAAAATCACTTAAATTTTCAAAAATCACTTAAATTTTCAAAAGTCACTTAAATTTTCAAAAGTCACTTAAATTTTCAAAAATCACTTAAATTTTCAAAAATCACTTAAATTTTCAAAAATCACTTAAATTTTCAAAAGTCACTTAAATTTTCAAAAATCACTTAAATTTTCAAAAGTCACTTAAATTTTCAAAAATCACTTAAATTTTCAAAAATCACTTAAATTTAAAAAAATCACTTAAATTTAAAAAAATAAGTTAAATTTAAGTGATTTAAGTGATTTTAAATTTAAGTGATTTAAATTTAAGTGACTTTTGAAAATTTAAGTGACTTTTGAAAATTTAAGTGATTTTTGAAAATTTAAGTGATTTTTGAAAATTTAAGTGATTTTTGAAAATTTAAGTGACTTTTGAAAATTTAAGTGACTTTTGAAAATTTAAGTGATTTTTGAAAATTTAAGTGATTTTTGAAAATTTAAGTGATTTTTTTTAAATTTAAGTGATTTTTGAAAATTTAAGTGATTTTTGAAAATTTAAGTGATTTTTGAAAATTTAAGTGATTTTTGAAAATTTAAGTGATTTTTGAAAATTTAAGTGATTTTTGAAAATTTAAGTGACTTTTGAAAATTTAAGTGATTTTTGAAAATTTAAGTGATTTTTTTAAATTTAAGTGATTTTTTTAAATTTAAGTGTTTTTTGAAAATTTAAGTGATTTTTTTAAATTTAAGTGATTTTTGAAAATTTAAAATTTAAAAAAAGTTAGAGTAAAAAGATAAAATATGTATAAAACATTTTTTTTAAAAATTATTTAAATCAACTAGTTAAGAAAATTTATTGATAATTGTAATTAATATGTTAATGATATGAATATTTATTGATGCATATATGTAACAAAGAAGATGCATTGGTCTAGTGGTAAGAAGCATTTATTGCAAGCATAATGACAACTAATCAAGCCATGTCATTAAATAATAATAAAAATATAACAAAAATATAAGCCACATCAGCCTTTTTAGGGATGTGGCATCCTCAAGGTAAAAATTGAAACTTTTAAAATTTGTCAAGGTAACAATTGGAACTTTTTTTTTGGCAGGGGGGTTTTTCAAATACACCCCATATGTCAGGGGTGAAAATAGGTATTAACCCTAAAACTAATTATAATGATTGATAATGCATACATGATCGAACTTCAACTACATCATGTGAATTTAACTATCGAATTATGAATACTTCTAATCTGTCAAAAACTTAAAACTACCCTTTTCCGTTTGAATTCAATCCAATACTATTTTTATATGCAAATTTCGTGGGATACACTTGAATTTGAACTCCTAAATAATGTTAAAAGATGTATGTTTTAGCACTATTCTTTCTCTGGATACATATTACATCATATTTGCCTTGCACTTTTATGATCTGTCAATTTCACATTCCATTTGTTGCATAATTCATCTCATACACAAATTCTATTCTTAAAGTTGAAATTTCAACCTCACAAAAAAATTAACTATTCACATAAGAGAATCTATTTCAAATAAAAGTAACTATTCACATAAGAGAATCTATTTCAAATTTAACTTTTGTTGTCTTTCTCCACCTTTTTTGGAAGATTCTTCAAGCATATAAAAGCAAAAATATTTGTAACTCCCACTTTTCTTTCTTTCAAGAATATAATCATCCATCTGCACTCACCTTTTCTACCCTTCATTGTTCATGTTTTCTCGAACTCTTCATTTAGATATGGAGGCTGTTCTTCAGTCAAAAGGGTTTCTCTCTCTTCCCATAAACCCCAAAAACAGATTCTTAAACCCATCACATGGTGTAAAGCATAGATTTTTCTCACCAAACCCCAAAATAGTTGGTGGGTTTTCTCTAACTAATAATGGGTTGCATAAACTCAATAGCTTTACCTTAAAAGCTAAGAACTTTGATCAAAAAGACAAAAATTTGTTCCTATGCAAAGCTGAAGAAGCTGCTGCTGCTACTGGTGGCGGTGGTGGTGATGGGGGAGCAGTTTTTGATGAATCAGAAACTGAAAAAGCAAAGCTTTTGGGTGTTGAAGTTACCACACTCAAGAAGATTATACCTCTTGGGATGATGTTCTTTTGTATCTTATTCAATTACACAATTCTAAGAGACACAAAAGATGTTCTTGTTGTTACTGCTAGAGGAAGCAGTGCTGAGATTATACCGTTTTTGAAAACTTGGGTGAATCTTCCTATGGCTATTGGTTTCATGTTGATGTATACAAAATTGGCGAATGTTTTGTCAAAACAAGCACTTTTTTATTCTGTTATTGTTCCTTTTATTGCTTTCTTTGGTGCTTTTGGGTTTGTTTTGTATCCTCTTAGCAATTATATTCACCCTGAGGCATTTGCTGATCACCTTCTTAACATCCTTGGACCGCGGTTTCTTGGTCCACTTGCTATTATGAGAATTTGGAGTTTCTGTTTGTTCTATGTCATGGCTGAATTGTGGGGGAGTGTTGTGGTTTCTGTCCTGTTTTGGGGGCTTGCCAATCAGGTAGCTTTTTCATCTTTGTGGCTTTGGTACTTTGTTGCTATTAGTTCATTTTTGGATTGGTTCGGTTTTGTTATAATCTGTCGTATGATCATTTTTTATTCTAGTATCCTAAACTAATCATGTCCTCTTAGTATTATTCTCGTTAAGGCGTTTATGGCTCATTATGAAGGAGAAATGAGAATACTGACTTTTTTTTCTGCAGATAACTACGGTTGATGAAGCAAAGCGATTCTATCCGCTGTTTGGACTTGGGGCCAATGTTGCTCTTGTATTCTCCGGGAGGACAGTCAAGTACTTTTCTAATCTGAGGAAAACTTTAGGCCCTGGTGTTGATGGTTGGGCCGTTTCTCTAAAAGCAATGATGAGTATTGTTGTTGGTATGGGACTTGTTATATGTTTTCTCTATTGGTGGGTAAACAATTACGTTCCTCTTCCCGCTCGTAGCAAGAAGAAAAAGGTACTCTTTTTGAAGAAAAGTAATAATATAGCATTGGAATTTTATTTTTTCCCTTGAAATCTGGCTTTTAATCTAGTATTTAGATAAGGTTTCATTTTTATGGCATGTTTGGCTCAAGTGTGTGTATATGATAAATCAAGACATAATCTGCGTGCAACTGCTGAGACTAATCCTTCAAGGTATCTGCAACGAATGATATTTTACATCGGTTTGCATTGTTTCAGGAGAAGCCTAAAATGGGAACAATGGAGAGCTTGAAGTTCTTGATGTCTTCAAGATATATAAGAGATCTTGCAACTTTAGTGGTTGCATATGGAATAAGCATTAATCTTGTTGAAGTTACATGGAAATCAAAGCTCAAAGCTCAAGTAATATATAACTTTCTTCACTTAAAGTTTTCTTACTTGCCATTTTCACATGACACTCACCTTTGCGAGTTGTGCAGTTTCCTAGTCCGAATGAATACTCATCCTTTATGGGCGACTTCTCAACTGCAACCGGAATCGTTACCTTCACGATGATGCTTGTGAGCCAATTTATCTTTGACAAATATGGATGGGGAGTTGCTGCGAAGATCACACCTAGTATATTGCTTACGACTGGAGTTGGTTTCTTTTCTCTCATATTATTCGGCGATCCACTCGCACCCGTTATTGGAAAGCTTGGATTGACTCCACTGCTAGCTGCTGTATATGTTGGTGCCTTGCAAAACATATTCAGCAAAAGTGCTAAGTACAGCTTATTTGATCCATGCAAAGAAATGGCCTACATACCCTTGGATGAAGATACCAAGGTTTGATCTCTTCTCTTCAACTTTATCATCTATTTACAAAAATATTTTGTACATTATCATTTATATGATAATTTTGTATGCTATAAACGGTCAATTAAGATGTTTAGCCAAACGGAGCCTTATACGACATCGACTTATTATAACAAACACATGTTGAATTTCTTGTTGTAGGTCAAGGGGAAGGCAGCCATTGATGTTGTGTGCAATCCGTTAGGAAAATCCGGCGGTGCTCTAATTCAGCAGTTCATGATTCTAACGTTTGGTTCACTAGCTAATTCAACTCCGTACTTGGGAGGTGTTCTTCTTGTGATTGTTCTTGCATGGTTATCAGCAGCCAAGTCACTTGACACTCAGTTTACCGCGTTGCGCCGTGAAGAAGAACTCGAGAAAGAAATGGAAAGAGCAGGTTCTGTTAAGAATGAAGATAGAAATGGTTCTGTTGAATCTATAATTACAGAAGCAAGTGACTCTTCAACTAGTCCATCTGAATCTTCAAACTCGGCATAATAATCAGTTTTAGTTTGCAGTGATATAGATAGAAAGAATAAGCAACAGTCATGAAAGAAGTGTTTGGTGAAACTGTAAGTTGTAGGTTTTATCTGTGTATATAGAATAAGTTTGCTTTTCACTTTTTTTCTTCAAGTCTTGTTATAATCAATTCTTTTAGTTACCATGCAAATTATGAAATATAAGAACTGTCATGGTATTGGGCTTGGTCGTTTCAATTTGTGAATCCGTTCGTTAATTAGTTGTTTTTTTTCGCTACAGATTCGTTGAGTTTCAATAAATATAAATATATATCTATATCATTCTTGTCTTCACAACCTTTAGAACTTCAGAACTAAAGATATAGAAACATTCCTATGGTTGAATTATTAGAATTTGGGAAATTTTGGAGATATTTAAGGAGAATGAAAAACACTTCTAAATACTTTGGACTTATGTGATTCCAATATAGAGAATTGGAGATATTGATAAACACTTGGAATGAAAAATGGGTTTGTTCTTGGAAATTTGGATGAGTATTTTCTTGTAACTCTTTTTTAATCTCTTGTAACAATTTTTGAAAGTATAATGAATTTGAGAGCTACTCTCTCTTCCAAAATAGACTTGTTTGATTGACCTCGGTAAGCAAGTTTCTTTATGTTTATGTCTTTTATCTTCCTCTCATTTGTTGTGGGCTTTCTTACTGTTTGAGAGGCTCATTTGATTGCTTGAAGCCATTTACTTCAGTTGTCTTTGTTGTTTGTCCAGACACATCTTTACTCTTGAAGAATTTAATATTAAGATTAAATTTCAATGAGTTTGATGACTTTGAACATATTAATAAATTTACTATTATTGTTAGAGTATTCACAATAAGTGGTGCTCGTTGATAGGCAAAAGAGTTTTGTTTACAAGTGAGCATTAGAGTCGGTCCTGACTTTTTAGAGGTTCGAGACAATTAATAAAAATGAACTCATAGTAAAATTAGATCCATAATTCGCATTTTATGGAATATTTTAAAAAATATTTGAAGTTATTTTCAATTGGTTTTATAAATTAAAAGAATAATTTTAACATCTAATTATTTAAATATTTATCATTAAAAATTTTAATGTATTCAAAATCAGATAATTTTTTTAAAACGAGATTTCTAAAAAATGATTTTTTTTATAAATTTATTTAGAATAGTATTACATTTAAATGATATTTTAAAATATGTAAAAAATTAAACACTGACAATTAATAAAAATGAATCTCTATTTCGCGTTTTATGAGAATTTTTTTTAAAATATTATAAGTTATTTTTAATTATTTTTTTATAAATTAGGTGAATAATTTTAACATCTAATTACTAAATATTTATTATTAAAAATTTTAATATAATCAAAATCACATGATTTTTAAAAATGATATATTTAAAAAAAAATTAAAAAAATATTTAAAATAACATTAAATTTAAGTGATACTTTAAAATCTAAAAAATAATAAAATATTTAAAACAATATTAAAAAATTAAAAAAATAATTAAAAGATAATTTTATAATTTTAAAATAAGATCTAATTTGTTGTTAAAAAAAAGATCAAATTCTAAACCTTTTTAGTATCAACTTGTTGAACTAAAAAATTGAATTGTCAATAAAATTAAAGTAGGTTGGGATTGAACACCGTACATGAAACACTACCTTCAGTCGCAAGAAACGTAACTGAACCGCTCAACCAATTGCATGCTTTATTATAAATATTATCAAAAATTGAGGTCACATTTTTTTAGACCCTAGGTTATCAGCTTGTTTGCTCTGGCTCAGGGTCGGCCCTGATGAGCACCATAGATATTAAATGAGATATCGAGAAATGTTTTAAATTCAGATACAATAATTTTGGTTTGTAGAAAGTTAAGATACAAGTAAGCTGAACAAGACAAAGTATATTTAAGGGTGAGGAATTGATGCTTGCACGTTTAACACGAGGAGAGAAGAGCGAGATTATGGATAAGGTCATGATTTTCGTTATTTTGTGGCTCAAAAATAAATTTTTTAAGGGAAGTTTGTAGAGAGAAGACCGCGATGTTGACGTGGACAAAGTTTGAATCATTATATATAACGAAGTCTTTGATCTCGCGGGATAAACACAAGATGTTTGAATCCGAAATGATCGATGAGATGTATGATTCTGATGTATCAGGACCATCACCTCAAGCACTTCATAATCAAGCGAGTCAGAACAGACTCCAAACACCTCAGAAAAATCAACAGAGAGGAGTGAGACAAGGAGTGAGGCAAACGCGGGGTCGTTTATGTCATACTGGGGCCCGTTTAAGTTGAGGGGACGTCCCAAAAAAAATATATCCATGCATTGTGTATTATAAAATATTAATAAAAAATATTTTTAGTTACTTTTATTTTTATTTTAAAAAAATTAATAAATATAACTATCAAGCCACACTAGGTGGCGCCTCCTCTCTATTATTGCATGCACGCATCACACTGCATGACTTTACAGGGGAGGATAAGCCATGTAGTATGGCGCCTCCTCTTTAATTTGTATGCATGCGCCACACAGAGTGGCTACTCTTCTGTGTGGTGAATTTTTTTTATTTGAAAAGTGATTATTTTAGTAAATTTTTAAAAATGTGGTTATTTGAGAATTTTTTTGAAAAAAAATAGTTATTTCAAAAAAAATTCTTATAAAAAGTGTAGACCTAGTCTGAGCCTATAAAAACTAGACCGTATATCCCTGTTATCGGTTTGGTCTATTTTCACACCTAACAATCATCCATAAATATTATTTTATTAATAAATAAAATAAAAATCAAACCTAATTTAAAATATAATGATTATTATTTATTAACGGTGTAATTTTTTTTTACATTCATAGTGCATTCCAATTAAATTCTAAAATAATATATACTATTTTTCTAATATTTCGGGTAAGATATGTCGCTATTTTATGTATCTTTATTTTTGACAAATTTAAAATTATGTTAAATTTCAAAGAGAATTTAGTGTGTTTGAACCAACAAATTCAGTTTTTACAAAATAATGTATCATATACTTGATAATAAGTCAATAAATAATTAAGAATCTCATATTTGTGTGCTATTATAGTTGAATAATTTGTTTAAGAGAATTTATTTTCCCAAAATATTCATAGACTTTGGAGGTGTATATCTGAACGTATTAAATTAAAAAATTTTAAAGATTCGTTCGTATATTCAAAATAATTTAATATTTTATTTTTTAGGATATATATATATATATATATATATATATATATATATATATATATATATATTATATATATATATATATATATATATATATATATATATATATATATATATATATATATATATATATATATATATATATAATATTCGAAATAACCTCTTTTATTCTTATAAAATATATATGTATTTAATATAGATGAACTTTATAGTTTATAAATTATTCATCATTTTTTTACAATAACCTATTCATTTATTATTAAATTTCTTATTTTAATATTATTAATTATTAATAACATTCAATTTTTGAATATAATATAAATATCTTTTTAATATAATAAATTTTTTAATAAAAACATAATAATTAATTATCAATTCTATACTAAAAAATTAAAAAACGTCATCTAAATTAATTTAATATCTCAAATTTACATATCCCAATATAATCCAAAATGTTCACATCCAAAATATATTTTCGAGTTTTCAAAAATTTAACTCAATATACTCGATATAATCAAGTGGAAAAATAAATTCTTGTTGTTTAAAGGTTGTAGGTTCTTTAATAGATGAAGTACTCCGTATGAGTTTATTTTCTAGCTACCATTCTAAATAAAAATACTAATATTTTTTGTATGGTATATTTCTGAATATGGACTAAAATAGGGGTTCACGAGCTTATCATGTGTGACATGTTGGAATGCAAAACATAAATAAACTTTGTCGTTCACATTTAGGGTAGGAGAACCTTCATCTCTAGGTTTCCATTCCTTCACCTCCTTCCAGTTTCCACCATTATATACCAAGTGTCAAGTATCAATATAACTTCAATCAAACCTATGCAGACAATAGTGTAGATGTGACATATTATTAAGAAAAAACCAAACGAGCAAATATATTGGATTCCTTTATATGGTGTTCACCTCTTGTTAACAAAAACAATAACAAATCCTTCACGCAATACACAAAATATTTAGACAAAACAAATGAGTCTCTTTCAAGTTTAAAGGTGTTACAATTTATGTTTTTTTTTCCAATGATGCATCTAAGGATAGGAACAATTTGGTCTGTATCATAGGGTCCTATTTCGTTGTCAACACCTTTTTTATTCTCTCTCACCCGAAAAGATAAAAAAGATGAAATTGTTATCTTTTGTTTAAAATAGAAACTAAAACTTCACTAGTTATTTTCTATTAAGCTTATCATAAATTTGTAATGAACCAAATCTTGGTTCTACTATATGTTTTTCACATCCCAACAAAACAAATCTTTATTACTGTCACCTATGAGATGGAAACTGCTGACCAAATATCACGTTTTTCATTTTTTTTTATTCTATCACATTTCTTATTATTTGTTTTTTTATAGTAAATCTATAAATTCTATTTCAACTAATAAAATAATTATTCCAAACAATTACATTCTCTCTCACTCTCTAGTTATATTACACAATTATAATAAAAATTATATTAATTAAAATCAAACCAAACATTTAATCGAAGTTCAACCGATAAAACTTAAATGTAACTTAAATATAATATTTTATATGGAATAAACATATATTTTAAAATATTTTCATATTTTATAAAATAAACAATATTTTTTTATACTTTATATTAATAAATTTATGTGAGTTGATATTATATTTGTAAAAAATTAAAAGCTAATATATATTCTCTTATTTATTTATTTAAAAAAGAAAGAACTACACCCAGAAAAAAGTCACAATATAGCCACTTGCATTCTTTTGCAGATTGTATTATGTTTAAAGTTTTGGGATTGATCTTTCCATTCTTGGTGT